GTTGATCTTGGTCCCTTCCCTCTTTCCACTACTTATAGCACCCGGGTTGCATAATGCGCAGGAAAATGTCCGTGGGAAATGTGACCCTGGCTTCCCCGCAGCTGCACTGAGAATTACCGTAATTAACCCAGCGCAAGGTGGCGAAATTGATGGATTCCGCACAGTTGAAGCCGTGATTGAAGCCAGCGTAGTAGCTGTAGGGGAATGTGAACATGAACTTGCCTACTTCCTGGGTGATACCACCGAAGGGAATTCCATTCTCCCCGAGGACACTGGGTGAGATGGGAGCCACCTTGTGTCGCAGAAAATTCGCACACCCACTGGAACTGCCAGGAAAAAGCTCCCTGGCCAGCTCACGGGGCACCGCATACCACGTTTTGGGCTCCCCGAAGTGCAGGGAGTTCATACTTTACAGGTCCATATCTTACGTGTGCCAAGCGGAGGTGGTCTTCCCCAGGCCAAAGTACAGGGAGGGAGTGTTGACACCTTTGACAACTCGACATTCCTGCTCCAGCAGATCCTGGATCGTTCCCAGGTCTTTGAGATTCCAATGCTTCGTCTTTTCACCAAACAAAGAACCACATACCCCAGCCCCATTAATGGGAGACTCGTACAGGCGGCTCTTCCCATATGTTTGCTCCAAATCCTCAACATCCAGGTGTGTGGGAGTGAGATTATCTGTCAGTGTTGGCCAAGTGGCGATACTCCTCCACAGTCATGATTTCTTCTTTTTATGGTCTTGCAAAGTGACACCTGCCTGCCCTGTAGCTACCTGCTGCACAGGACTGGCTATGAGGGTGTCATCCACATCATCATAGTTCTGTTTGGCTGTCCACTGCTTGGGTGGGATCATCTTTGCTAGGCCTGCATGGTGGGCACCTTTGGATTCCATATAAACAGTATAGTTGTTGAAATGCTTAGATTCTTCCATGGTAGGCCAGAAAATTATGGTTTTAAGACCTGAGTTCTGGCTTCGATTGTATTGGGACTTCAGGCTACAAAGTAAAGTCAGAAAACCCAGTTCTCATGGATGTCTGTTTATCTTTGAATACTGTGCTTTTGTTTCTTTATCTCTCCAAAAACCTCTTGCAGTGTATTGATTTCTCCATGAGAGCAAATGCACTCTCTCCAGGTGTGTTGATTCACCAAGAGACTTCTATGGCAGACAACGATTGTTTCCCCGCAAAGAGACAGGATTTGTCCACATGGAGCAGGTTTTCCCAGAATGCTCCTGGCTCAGTATGCTGCTCTGGAAGTTTACTCAGTTGGAAGAGTATCTCTGTCTGTTGATACTTAATTTCGGTTGCAATCCTAGGCAATTTCCAATTCCACTAACAAGGAGTGCCTCAAGGAATTAAAAAAAATAAATCTAAAGACAATAATCCAGAAACATTCAACATAGCGAATGTTTACAGAAATGCTAGTAAAGAAGCCATTGAAATAATAGCATGAAGATGCTAGTATCAAAAATAACACTTAATGTAAAATATGAACCAAGACCACTAACCAAACAAACTCACTGACATCAGTTTGACCCTGTAGGACATGGTGCAGATGTCTTTGTGTTTTTCTCAGGCTGTAACTCTTTTTTTTAATGTATTTTCCACAATATTTTATTTAGAGTTAAAAGATTTGCACTCATAAGTTATATAGCCATGAGGCAACAAAGTGTAATACAAAGAATTGGTCTGAAGTCTTTGTGCTGAAGGCCACACAAAGTCTCTTGCTTCAGGGAAATAAGGCGTAAAGAAACAACACAAACACATAACTTCCTAGGTTCCAGAATTCCAGTAGAAAATAACAAGTTAGTGCAATTGTAGGCATTAACATACGGAAAACAGATCTTGTGCAAATATTAAAACTAACACCCAGGGCTTCTTTAGCATAGATTTTATGAACAATATGCAATACTTCAACTACAGACCTTTCTTGTTGAAAGGTTCTGTAACATGAGTTGCTTTATTACGAAGGGAAAACGTTTTAAGAAGCTTACTGTGGAAACAATCCAGTATCAACAAACTCTAGTGATCAAACAAATTCCGTTTAATGTAAAATGAGGACAATTTATAGAGTCTGTCCTAGCTGTGGGTATTATGAAGCAACCCAATTTTCCAGACCAAAAGGCACTCACCTCTAAGGATGACACAAACTGTGAACCAAGCCAGCAGTCAGATTGGTTCTTTGAAATCTGGTTACCTACTGCTCAGTTTATGCAGCCCAGGGAGAAAAGGCAACACTAAGCAGAAAACTCTCTTTCTTTCATCTACAAATCACAAATGTATCTGGTCACCCTCATGACTGATTTGGTCAAGCAGGTGGAAGGCAGTTCAAAGCTGTCATCTCCCTAGCAGAGCTGCCACGTGTATAATCCCGAATTATTTTTTTCTTGACAGCCACCTGCCATACAGGTTTCTGAGGTGACCAGACCAGGCCCTGTTCAGGACTAACACGGAAAGTACCATTCATTACAAGGCCAAGTATTTTCCTTGGCTGGCTCCCAAGTGCCGTGGGCAAGGCAAGGGGGGAAATAGCTTTTCCATTGCTGTCTTTTGTGTGGGCGCATGAGGAATAGGGGAGGGAGTAAGGCTTCTTCACTCCAAAAACAGGCCACTTCAGTGTGGTGCTGGGCCTTAAACAGGCCTAATTTTTATGCACTGATTTTGAAATTTTCATTTTCTTAAATGGTAGGTATCCTACCACAACCTTAACAAAATAAAAATAAATTATACACTGGTGAAGACAAATAGGCAAACATTCATACAAGAAAAAACAGGCTTGAAGAGCATGGCACTTTAACGCTTGCATGACCACTCTCACTAAGTGTGCTCAGGGGTGGAAGTTTAGCACCAGTTTTTTTTTTATTTTTTTTTTAAAGTCTTTAGAAATTAAACACAACTCTAAAGCAGAACATTCAAACATTTATGAGTTTAACCCTATGTACCAATACTGTTGTACAAGCCAAAAGTCCTGTTTAAAGGTCTTTCAGAATGCTTGCCTGGAAAGAAAAACTGCTTGGACGTCCTGAATTCTTCCCTAGAACAATGTGTCCTTACAAAGCTCAATCCAGCTGCTTGGTTGATATATCTGCTCTCTGAGAACCTAGATACAGCTATAGGCACTGCTACCAGAAGAGGATTTGAGGTGGCTTGGTGCTAAAGAAAAGATCTCTCTTTCACACGTGTGCAGCAATGACATCAGGTCCTCCTTTGGGCACCTCCATTCCATTCCATTCCTCAGCAGGCTACACAACAACACACTGTTTCACACCAGGAGACTCTAAATAAAGAATGCTACAAAATGCAACTGACAATAAGATGAGAGTTAAACCATCAAGGTGAACAATGCATCCCAAAAGGCTCCTGATATGGATCTCTGTCCAGGAGCTGCAGAGGACTCATGGTGCCCACTTTCAATCCTATCAGGATGTCTGGGTAGGAAGCATGGAAGCTGTGATCAATTCTTCGTATGCAATTAAACGAAAGTTTTCTTTTTTGGAAAAAAAAAAAAAGTAGGAGCCTAAAAATGTTTCATGTTGGTCTCCGTTGCCCAGACTTCCAGAGGAACACATCCACTTGATCCAGGGAATTGTAGGGATGTGTTTGGGATAAGCCTTCATGGGTCTTCAATTTCAGCTTCCTTGTGTGGCCAACACACATTGAGCAAATCACCAGGGGTACCTGCATATCATAGGTCCCCTGAACCCACATAGTAATTCTTACTGATCTTGGAGGAGCCCCAATCCAACTGAACCCCATATTGAGGAAAGACTGAGACAAGGCTTGGGCCCCTCAAGTTCTGTTTCATTAAACATAACCCCACCATCCCTTTAGGCAGCTGGAGGCAGACTTGGCCATGGAAGCTAGCATCATAACATGGTGCAGTAACATGGTGCAGTAATAGAAGTAACTGGACCAGGAAGAGGAGGCATCTGCTTCAATGATGTCATAGCCATTGGCTGCCCAGGGGAGTGAGATTGGTCATGCAGCTGTGTGTCAGGAGTAATGATTGTAGAGGGGCGGGGCATGAAGAGTGCCATTCTGGAAACAGTGCTGGCAAGAAGCAATATACTCTGCATAACTGAGTGACACATTCTCACTTCGGTACCTGGTGAGTTTGATCGTTTTTCGGAATTCACTGGTAATAGGAGCCTTAAAACCACCTTTCCTGAGCAATGAGTCTATGGTCCGAATCTGATCCCTGTCTTGTTCTTTAGCAACCTCAGGTAAATATGTGGCTGTACATTTGATGCCCTTTTCATTGATGAATTCAATTCGAATGCCATGGACCCCTACCTCCCAGTCCTGGTAATCACTGGCATCCTCAAAGTCAGTAAGGAGGGAGACAGAGCAGAAAAGTTTAGGTAGCTCCTCCGGCATCATTGGGGGAAATCGGCTGTCCTTAAGTGCACTGGTTAACGAGTATTCCCTGAGTCCTGAGTGAAGATTCATGGCTGAGAAGGTTCCAATGCAGCCCCGGAGCCGCTTATCCCGCCCTGTTTTCCATGTCACAAACAGTGGATAGGGGTCATTGGTGAATCTAGGAAGTCGTGGCTGTGGGCAGCCATAGAGGTGACAGTAGAGCACATCAAAGCAGTAACAGCACATCTCTGCAGTCACCACCGGGTTCTTGGTGGTGTTGGCAGTTCCAATGGGACGGGGGAGAGGGCTTAGCGCTCCTGATGTGGGATTCATTCGTGTAAT